GGATGGATGGATTGACGGATGGATGGATGGATGATGGAGGATGGATGGATGGATGACGGATGGATGGATTGACGGATGGATGGATGGATGATGGATGGATGGATAGATGATGGATGATGGATGGATGATGGATGGACGATGGATGGATGGATGATGGATGGATGATGGATGGATAGATGATGGATGGATAGACGATGGATGGATGGATGAATGGATGGATGATGGATGGATGATGGATGGATAGATGATGGATGGATAGATGATGGATGGATGGATGATGGATGGATAGATGATGGATGGATGGTTGGATGGATGGATGGATGATGGATGGATGATGGATGGATAGATGATGGATGGATGGATGGATGGATGGATAGATGGATGGATGGATAGATGATGGATGGATGGATGGATGGATGGATGGATGGATGGATGGATGGATGGATGGATGGATGGATGGATGGACAGATGATAGATATTGTCCACAAGGGGAAACTTGTCTTGGACTTTGTACACTAAACAAAGATGCTTTCACAGTTAAAGACACTACAAACAGCAACAATCATGAGAGGCAGGAAGTGTCCTGGTCCTGGTCCTGGTCATGTAAACCAGCTGTAAGACTGAAGAGTCTCTCACCAGTCAGAGGGTGAATGTGGAACTTCCTGTGCTCGTTGCCTGATCGGATGCTGTACGTGATCTCTGCGTTGGTACCGATGTCTTTGCTGGCAGCGTAAACTCTCACCACCTCGGTGCCGACGCGCACATCCTCTGGTACCGTTGCCAGCTGATCCCGGCGCTCGAACACAGGAGGGTTGTCGTTGATGTCTAACACGGTGATCGTGACGTTGACCAGTGAGGAGAGAGGCTGAGGTGAGCCCTGATCTGACGCACACACAGTGATCTGATGGGTTGGCTGGACTTCACGATCCAGAGTGTGCTCCAGGACGACGATGCCTGAGACCTGATCGATGGAGAAGAGTCCTCCTGCAGAATCAGCCAGGGAGTAGACCACCGTCCGACCTGGACCTGCTGCAGAGGTCAGATAAGAAGAGTCAGATCCTTGTTAGGTCTTACTGCATGTCAGACCCTTAACTTCTGTCTTCATACCTTTAGACCATTGGTGTCCAACATCAGTCCTCCAGGGCAGGTGTCCTGCATGTTTTAGGCCTGCCCTGGTTCAACACAGCTGAACCTAAGGAGTGCCTAATTAGTAGGCCTTTGCAGAGGAGTCCTGCTAATTAAGCCCTCATTAGGTTCAGCTGTGTTGAACCAGGGCAGCTCCTAAAACATGCAGGAAACTGGCCCTGGAAGACTGACTTTGGACACCACTGCTTTAGACCATCAGACCATTAGACCATGAGCAATCTTTTTACAGAAAGTCTGAAGATCAAAATGTAGACATTTATTTTTGCCTTGATTTACTTTTTTATTCATGACATAAATCTTTCTGTAGCTCATCATACAAATAAAACAAAGAAAACGAGAAAACCCTTCCTGTCTTCCCTTTGACCCATGTGTTTTATGACCACACAGCCTTTATAATTTTATCATGTCAAACAAAGCCAACCTCAGATAATAATAATAATAATAAAATGTTCATTAATAATTAGTAATATATAATTCATTATATCATGATTTAAAGAAACGCCATGTGACAGTGATTGTAGGCAAGGCGGTGGGCGTGGCTTAAAACTCCACATCACCTTATTTTTCTCCATTAGACCTGAGTATTATTAAACTTTTCACCGTGATGTACAGGGTTTATTTTTCCATCCTAAATAAACGACAACATTTGTGATGTGATCCTATAATCAGCAGGAGTTTCATCACCTTCATCAGGATCTATGGCCTGTATACGAGTGAGCAGAGCCTTGATGGCGGTGTCTTCATACACACTGGCAGTATACTGTGACATGGTGAAGGTGGGGGGGTTGTCGTTCACATCGGTCACTGTCAGATGAAGCTCAGCGCTGCACCACCGGCCTCCACCATCAGCTGCCTGAGTAATTAACCTGTAGTGAGGTGTGGTCTCATGGTCCAGAGTTACTGATGACTTGATTTCACCTGAGCAGGAATCAAAAACACAATAAAAAGTCAGGGGAAGCCACGGAGACCACAGAGTTTAGAATAAAACATATAAAGGTATATTTCCAAAGCTGCCCTCTATCCTTACCGGTGTCCGGATCCATGTTGAAGTCCTGGGATCCAGAACCATGCAGGGAGTAATGAATCCGAGCACTGTTTCCTACATCTGCATCTGTGGCTCCAACTCTCAGCACCATGCTGTGGACCGGGAGGTCCTCTGGAATACTGGCAGAGTAAACCGCCTGTAAACAAATATCAAACACACATGAACTCCAAACAATTCAAAGATCATGAGGACAAACTAGCTGCATTTCCATTGACCATGAAAATGCGCAAATTAGAATTTCGAAAATAAATTTGCTCAATGGAAACACTTTAATTCCGAAAAAATTACATTTTTCGACAAAATGTTTTTGCGCTAGGATGAGGTGGTATTTTGGCCGTATCGAAATTGGTGTTTTTCACAAAACTGCAATGGAAACACTTTTTTCACATCACGGGAGTCACGTGATCAACAACGGGCTGTTTCTACTGGCGAAAAAGACGATGACGAAAAAGTTAACAGGGAGTAGAAATAGTAGTAATATCACAGAAGTAGTATGAAATAGTAAACTCACCGACTACAATTTCCCAAAAACACAGCACACGTAGCCACTCCCAAGTAGGGACTTGTTGCTGGAAAGCCTCGATAAAAGACGCTGACGTCTGATGATGAGCGCTAGTGTCGCGGTAGCAATATGCTAACGTGTTTACATCCATCCCTGCCATGTTTGTAATGACTTATCGTGAGAACAAATGTATTCACACGTTACTTTAATAGCATTTCTTACTTAATGGAAACATCGCAGTTGCGAAACTGTGTTTTTCGACATTAACAGAATATCGACAAAGTTTTGCGCACGTTTGCAATGGAAACGCAGCTACTGACATTCAACGCTCATTAAACAGCATCAGACCAACTATTGTTGCATCTCATGTGAAATAGGACACGTTTTAAAGTCACCTGGTCACAGATGGGGTTGTTGTCATTGACGTCAAGAACTGTCACCTCCACAGTCGTCTGGGAAACAAAAAGTCCATCAGTCGCAGTGACATTGATGATGTAGAGATTGCGCTCTTCCCGATCCAGTGGTCCCTTCACGTACATCTTCCATTCTCCCTGAACCAGGCCGAGTGCAAACACACCATGATGATTCCCACCTGGATAACACACAGTCACACAGGTTCAATCAGACACAAAAAGATGTGCAATGTTTTATTAAATAGCCATCAAAACCCTGGGAATTTGTCCTGCGATGTGTTGTACAAGAGGCTGGGCACTCAGGAAGGACAGAAGGACTTGTGTGGACTGGTGAGACAGACATCAGGCTGAAAGGACGAGCAGCAGGATAGACTTGTTAAAGACAGAAGTGATAATGTTCTAACAGGTGAGGAGAGAGAAGAACTTTGAGGAGCTGATGAAGAGGATATCAGGGAAAGATGAATAGAGCAGGAAATGGGAAAGATCAGTGAGCTTCAGTTCAGAAAGCTTTGAAGAGGCTGAAGAAAAGGAAGGCAGGTGGACATCAGTGGAGGGATGGAAATATCTAGAAGAGTCTCTAATAAATGGTCTTTACAGCCTGATGGATCAGTGTGTTAGCAGGATGACTTGGCTACAAAACACACAGGTATGTATTCACAGCCCTACTCACCTGTGATGAGGTAACTGACATGTCGATTGACAGCAGAGTTGTCGTCATCCCTGGTGTTCAGCATGGCTACCACCTCACCGGGGGGGCTGCTCTCCTGAACTGAACTGAAGTAGTAGCTCTCCATGAACCTGGGCGGGTGGTCGTTGATGTCTGACACAGCCACCGTCACTGTGGTGGTACTGGACAGGGACAGGGTCTCTCCAAGATCTGAAGCCACAACTGTGAACATGTAGCTTGGGTTGGTCTCGTGGTCTAATTCTTTGCGTGTAAAGATCCAGCCAGTGTTACTGTCTATGCTGAAGGTACGAGCCAACGTTTCTGAACCCTCCTCTGCTTGGATTGATGAGCCAAGACTGTAGGTGACTTGGCCATTGGCCCCTGAGTCTGGGTCCTGAGCTTTGATTTGGATGATTTTAGTTCCAACGGTCATTCCTTCCATAACCGTAGTAGCGTAGGAGTTGGCCTCAAAAGCTGGTTTATTGTCATTAAGGTCCAAAATTTTGACCTCAACATCCACAGAAGACACAGAGTTCAGCTTTGTCTGTTGTGCAGTGGCAATGATTTTAAAATAAAATCCTTTGATGACCTCATGGTCCAAGGGTTTGTCCAGTTTGATCACTCCTGTATCCTTTTCCACAACTAAAACACCATCCTGGTTGTTTTCACCCGTTTCTCCATTAACAGAGGCAAAGGTCACAGGGACTGACGTATGTTCAGGAGGAACGTTGAGGTGAACGGTCCCTATGACTGAACCTATAGGTGTGTTCTCTGGTATGCTGAAGATGTAATAATGCTGACTAAAGAAAGGAATGAAAGCATCAGGAGACAGGACGTGAATGTAAACAGGCACTAGAGAGTGTCTAACTGGATTCCCTCCATCAACAGCCTTCACAAAAAAGGATAACACAGAGTTCCTCAAGTGACTGAAGCTGCCTTTAGTCACCATCCAACCACTGTCTGGGTCTATTTCCAGAATGTCTGCTACAGGGACATGAGCCTCACTATACAGTGAAAACGTTACTTTGGCATTAGTGCCATAGTCAGGATCCTGAGCCTGAATTTGTGTTATCAAAAAGCCTTGGGTGACATCGTATTTGAGTGAGGCTCGGTACTCTGAGGCACTAAAGCGTGGTGCATTATCATTTTCATCCACGATAGTAAGATGTACTGTGCAAAAAGAGACACGTCCACCTGAATCCTGAGCTGCTACAGTGAGAACAATGTCCTTATTGGATGGATCCTCACGGTCCAGCTTCTCTGCTGTGCTGATCTGACCCTTGTTATCGATGTTGAACTGGTCATTGCCCACATCGTTAACGAAGGAATAAGTGACAAGACCAAACTCTCCTGGGTCTGCATCTGTTGCCTTCACCTGGAATAAAAACAGTGTGTTTGTGAATAACTGAACACTTGGCAAGAATAATTACATTTAATCACTGTTTGCATGTTGAGAAAAGACGAGCCATTTTAGTTATTTATCCTTGAAACCATGACTCATGTTGACTCCATCAGTTATCAACATTTTAGAAAAATACTGTATGGGATTAGGGCATTACTCTCTGGTATGACAGCACCAGAGTTTGTTCCAACGGTTATAAAACTAAGTTTTATTGTCACTTCCGCCAAGGGAGGAGGTAATGGTTTTGGTCGTGTATGTCTGTCTGTCTGTCTGTCTGTGGACAAAATTACTCAAAAACTTGTGGACGGATTGTCATGACATTTTTATCACATGTAGATTTCGGCCAAAGGAACATACCAATAAATTTTGGTGATGTTCCGGATCACGAAGCGGATACAGGAATTTTTCTTTCAATTCAAGTGAATCAGCCAGGCTACGCAAAGTGTCATTACATCAGATGCATGTCTGCAGGAAACAGGAAGTGAAGTCACAAACTCACTGGGACTACACCTCTGAGGATGTCTACTATCAGGAAAGTTGTGATTATTCTGTTATCAACTAGTTTTGGTGATGTCATATGCTGTCTGGAGACGTAGAGAAAGAAATGAGATTCTCTTCACGTTACGGGAATAACAGAAGACACCGACAGCGGGGGCAAGGTCCTGTTGCAGCTGAGCCGAAGCTTAATCCAGGACCAGTTTGTGGATGAATAATGTCGGGTGACGAGTCTGACTTTTTTTTCGTGTTGGACTCCACCGGGAAGAAATCCCATGCATACTGCCTGCTTAAATGTTCGCTACGTCAGAACTTATTCGGCAAATGTGTTTCCATCTCTCCTTTTGTGCATTTACTCTATTACAGGATGGGGGAAATTGGCCTTGGCGGAGGTTTGCACTCTCCAAGTGCTTCTAGTTTTTAACGTATTTTAAAGTTGCTTAAAAGTTAATCACTTGTACATTTACACCCAGTCATTATTTACTGAGCATTTGGACAAAAGACAAGCACACACATACTGTACACAAACACACATACCTGGCTTCAACCTTTTGTCAGAAGATAATAAATACCTCTGTGAACCCTGAATGCACTGACCTGAATCACTTTGGTTCCTGCAGGAGCGTTCTCTTTTAACTCGGCCTCGTATGCATTCTGTTCAAACACAGGTTTGTGCAGGTTGGCTCCCAGCACTTTGACGTGCACCTGTGCAGTGCTGGTGAACACTCCGTCAGATACCGACACGTTTAGGTTGTAGGCAGGCTCCATCCTTTGCTTGCGGTGACTGGACAGTGTGATGATTCCTGTATTTCTTTCCATCACAAAATCCATCCTTTCATTTCCTGATAAAATGCTGTACTCCAGTTTGTCAGAGTCAGACCTATCAGCATCAGAGGCCTGAACACAGGTAACAAAGTGTCCTTTTGGTGCTAACTCGCTGACATATGCCTCATAGAGTAGCTGGTTAAAAACTGGAGGATTGTCATTCATGTCATTTAACACAACAGTCACTGAGACTTCACTGCTGAGTGATGGGAAACCATTATCAGTGGCCCTGACAACAAAGATGTACTCCTGGACTACTTCATGGTCCAGCATACGTGCTGTCAGAATCAATCCACTGCTACTGTCAATGTGGAAGTAATCTGTGCTGTTATGTACATCGGAGAATATCTGATAACGAACTACGTTGTTCTTCTCTGAGTCTTTGTCTGTGGCAGTAACTTGAATTGCAGGAGTTCCAATCATGGCCGTTTCAGACAGGACCACCCTGTAGGACATCTTGTTGAAGACAGGTGGGTTATCATTGATGTCTTGAACAAACACATCAACAGTAACTTCAGCATGGGCTCCTGTCAGAAAGTCTGTGGCTCTGATGGTCAGGTGGTAAGATGACGTTGTTTCATAATCCAAAGAGTGGATTACACTTATGATGCCGGTATCAAACCCAATATCAAACTGAAGAGATGGATCCCCACCAACAATGGTATAGATTATGTTTTGACCTTCAGGACTAGTCGCATTGATGCTAAGAATGGGTGTGTGCACATCCACGTCCTCATTTACAGAAACTAAATAAAAGGATTTGTCAAAGACAGGCATGGCTTTGTTGACTACAGTGATGGGAAACTCAACAGTAGAAGAGAGGGGATGGTACCCACCATCTCTGGCATATATCAGCAGCTGATAATCCATGTTGGATAAATCAGACTCAAACGATCTCTTCAGGCTGATAGTACCTGTCTGCTGATTAATTTCAAAATGACCATGGTCCTCCTTCAGATAGTAAGACACCTCTCCGTTGACGCCTTTGTCACCATCCACTGCAGTGACGCTGAAAATGGGTGATCCTGGTTCAGCTTCTACTTGAACTGCTGCATAATAAGGAAGTCCAACAAACACAGGTGCATTGTCGTTAATATCCTCAACTTGAACTTTTACCATAACTCTGGCCACGTGCAGATGGTCATGCTCCCTTCTTGCCTCAACAATTAGCTCATAAAACTCTTGTTCTTCACGGTCAAAGGGTATTCCTGTGGTTTGGATAACACCAAATGTTGGGCGGATTTTGAAACGTGTCCCAGCATTCAGCAGAGTATACTTCAGAGGTTCATTGAGGCGGTTTCCCACAACACTGACCACAGCCACTTTGGTTATGTTGGACACATTTTCTTTAATGGAAGAAAAGTAAATGCTTTGAGTAAAACTGAGACCAGAGTCCAAAGATTCTTTGACAAGTACAGTCACCGAAGCAGCGCTGGAGAATTTTCCATCTGAAACTCGGACACTAAAGCGAAAAAGCTCTTTGGTGAAGCTGCTGTTTTTTACAACAATAATTCCACTGGAAGGTTTTATGGCAAAGTTCTGCAATACCCCATCAGTCAGGGAGTATGTGAGCTCTGTAGGAACATCACTGTCAGGGTCCACAGCAGACAGGTGCAACAGTTCCACTCCAACATAGGTGGGCAAAAGCAGTACTGTTTCATAGGTGCTTTGGGTGAAGTAGGGGGGTGAGTCATTGGAGTCTGTCACTTGTATCGTGACCTCAGTTGGACTGTCTGCTGTTAACTGTGGCCTTCCGTTGTCTCTGACATGAACATGGAAGTGGAAAGTGGAAAATGTCTCATGGTCTAGATTAGCAATGGTTCTAATGGAGCCAGTTCCGGAGTCCACGGTGAAGAACATTTTGGCAGTGTCTTCAACAATCTGGTAGACCAGCAGGGAGTTTTGGTTAGAGTCAGCATCAGTTGCTCTGATTACTAGAGGCAGGTTATCGGTGTTTAAGACCACACTGTTGAGTGGTGCTACCTCACTGATGCTGCCATGATAGTGGTCCTGCTGAAACATTGGTGGATTATCATTCTCATCCACTATCTGGATTAGCAAGGTGGCATTGGAGGCCATTCCAGCCATGTTGGCAGCCTGGACTGTAAGGGTATAAGATGCTACGGTCTCATAGTCTAGAGGCCTTTGAGTAGTAATGACTCCACTGTATTGATTTATTTGAAAAACTTGGTCTGTGTTGCCCTTCTTGATCTCATAAGTGAGGGTAGACAGGCTGATGGCACTGACTGTGGTGACTGAGGTCCCAACCATTACATTCTCTTTTATCTCAGTCTGGTACTCTGGTTGGGGGAACTTTGGGCCAGCATTGTCAGACAGAGTCACAGCAATACGGACAATTGAGGTCGTGGATAATGAAGGAGTGCCGCCGTCAGTGGCTCTGACAGTAATAACATAGTGACCTATGCTGGACAAGTCCAGGTGACGTGCAATTCTAATAATACCTAAAACTGACTCAATGGTGAAAGCATTCCCCGTGTTCCCTGTTAAAAACAATGACAGGAAATTATCAGTGCAGGGTATATAAATCTAAAATATGCTGGAGTAAGTAGTTATTAATGATGCCTACCTGCTTCAATGGAGTAATGTAGCTCTGCATTCTTGCCTTTGTCTTTGTCCATGGCAGTAACCTGAACTACAGCAGATCCTACTGCAGCAGACTCATAGACTGAGCCTTCGTACAAGGCACTTGTAAAAACCGGTACATGATCATTTATATCTTCCACTTCTATCAGAACACGAGCCAGATTCTTTCGGTATGGAAATTCTTGGTCTTTCACCTAAAAGAGACAAATAAAATAAATAAATTAATACCTAGCAAACAAAAAACAAAACAAAGTTAAATCAGCAAGGTGTTATCATTGTAATAAATGTAAAAAGGGTAGTAAAGAAAACACAATGACACAGTTGTCATTAATAAACATTTTTGAGTTTAAATTACTCATTTAAAAAGGATAGCTTGAATATGGTGTTCATTATGCAAAGACGTCTAAAACACATTTAAAATCAGAACAAATGAACTTTTATTCTGAAGTTAATGAAGTTTCACTTCCCGTCCAGTGAATTTTTCCAATTTAAAACCCGAGTGTGGATTTAAACTACATGAAATGATGTGTTTATGTTGCTAAATTCATGTGTAGATTAATCTCACTCCTCTACTAATGGAGAGTCATTAGTGTCTGTGTTTGCCTGGCCCAGAGAGATGTTTTGGTCACATGCATGAGGGTCTGAAATAGAGTGAAACTGACTGGGTATCAGACTTACTGCTGCATTGAAGGCTTTAAGACTGTGATGGATGTGCACTAGACTTGTCCAAAATTGTATTGTGTGTGATTGATTGTCAGAAAAATTGTCACTGTCAAGTTAGGTGCAGGAGGAATGAACCCAGATCCGGACGGAGGTTAATTTGACCAATTTTGTTGACCATCAAAACGTAATGTTATGCATATAACTACTGTTCCCTGAAGGAAAGGAATGAGGTTCAACACATCATGTATGGGAACCCACGCTCCTGCGTGTCCTGGCTGAAGCCACCTCTAATCACGCCTTTAGGCAGGTGACGTGATGACGACAGATGTCAAGCTCCGCCTGCACATATACTGTTGCCATCACAGTCACTCCTTAGTTCGGTAACTGCTCTTCACCGAGACCAGCTGTGCAGCGGGGCCACCATGTGTTGTACCTCGTTCCTTTCCTTCAGGGAACAGTAGTTATATGCATAACATTACGTTCCCTTTCAGTCAGTTCACTCGGTACAGCACATCATGTATGGGACATATATAAATGCCCCGCAGAGCAGCACCAAACTTGGGTCATATTAACATGCTAGTGCAGCACGTCAGACCCAGCGGAGAGCACAGAGTGAGCCACTGAAGGGGCTGTCACATCTGAGCGATAAAACTGAACAAACGTGTGCGGTGAAGACCAGCTGGCCGCAGCACAGATGTCACTCACAGGTACCCCTTTAAATAGGGCCCAGGACGCTGCTACACCCCTGGTGGAGTGAGCTCTCACACCAGATGGGACTGGGAGACCCCTGCTGCTGTAAGCGAAAGAGATAGCCTCCACAATCCAGTGGGAGAGTCTCTGTCTGGACAGAGTCCTGCCCCTGAGTGGGTTAGCAACACACACAAACAGCTGATCACATGACCTCACCTCCTGTGTGCGGTCAATGTAAATGCGCAGTGCACGTATGGACACAAAGAATGTAACCTCCTCTGTTCCTCAGATGCAAAATGGGAAGGATAAAAACTAGAAAGCTCAATAGACATGGAGCTGTAGTTAGAAGGTATCACCTTAGGGAGATACATTGAGTTTGGATGCAGCACCACCTTGGAGCCATCAGGTGAAAACTGAATACAGGAGGGATTCACAGACAGAGCATGGAGATCCCCGACCCGTTTAACAGTTGTTAGTGCCAGAAGCAACACARCTTTATATRAAAGGAACTTCAAATCCAMWGACTCCAGGGGCTCAAAAGGGGGGTCACAGAGAGCCTCGAGCACCACAGTAAGATCCCAGGTAGGGATACTGGGTTTAATAACAGGCCGCAGCCTACGGACCCCCTTCAGAAAACACACTGCTAAAGGGTGAGCACCCGGCTTAACTCCATCAAAACCCACATGGCAAGCAGAGATAGCTGCCAAGTAGACTTTAATTGTGGAAAAAGCCAGACCTTTATCCAGTAGCTCCTGTAGGAATGTTAAAACATCCACCATAGAGCACTGAAACGGGACAATGTGCCTAACCTCACACCACTGCTCGAAAGCGTGCCACTTGTAGGTGTATAAACCTCTAGTGGAGGGCGCTCTCGCGTTCTGGATAGTTGCCACCACTGCCGGGGGAAAGCCTCTGGCTAGCAAGCAGGACCTTTCAGCAGGTAGGCGTGCAGCCTCCACAACTCTGGGTGTGGGTGAAATATAGCCTGATAGACCCTGATAGGCCTTGATAGACAGGAAATGCACGCTGCACCACTGCAAGAGAGTGTGAGGCAGTTCCAACAGGGGAAGAGACCGTGTTCCCCCCTGTCTGTTTATTTATGACACTACAGTCGTGTTGTCTGTTCTGATCAGAACATGTTGGTTCTGCAGAACTGGACAAAATTGTTTCAGTGCTAACAGAACTGCTAACAATTCCAGGCAGTTTATGTGGAGTCTGGACTGCTTCAGAGTCCAAACCCCCCTCACTGCCGCACCATCGCACAGAGCCCCCCACCCCACCAGGGAGACGTCTGTGGATACCACTTTGTGAAAGTACACTCTCCCTATCGGTGAGCCTCGGCATAGCAGGCCGGGTTCCCTCCAAGGACTGAGAGCCCTCATGCATGAGGCAGTTATCGTTAGCTTTCTGTGGTGGTGACGTAATGCACACAGCCGGTGAGAGCGGGATCAATGCTGAAACCGGTACATTTTTAGCAGCCCGAGTGGTACGACTGCGATCATAGAAGCCATCATGCCTAACAGTTGCAGAATGGTCTGAAAACGCAGTTTGYGTCCCAGTTGAAACTGAGCGAGGCAGCGGTGAAATGCAGCTACTCTGTTTTCTGAGAGACGTGCTCTGCCCAACAGGGAGCATATTTCTAACCCGAGGAAAGAAAACTGCTGACTCGGAGTCAATAAGCTTTTCTGAAAATTTACAGAAAAACCCAGAGCCTGAATGTGCAACAGAACCTGAGACAGATGCTCTGTAGCTTGCTCCTTGGAGCTGGCTATCAGAGCCCAGTCGTTCAGGTACGCTAACAGGCGAACTCCTTTCTCCCTGAGAGGAGCTAACGCCGCTTCGATACACTTTGAAAAGGTGCGGGGCATCAGCGACAGACTGAATGGTAGCACCAGGTATTCGTATGCCACGCCTTCGAACGCAAACCTCAGAAATTTCCTGTGGTCCGGGTGAATCACTACATGGAAGTAAGCATCTGCTAAATCGACGGTCGCAAACCAGTCGCCCGGGCTGACCGAATGCAGAAACTGCCTGAGTGTTAGCATTTTAAACCTGTAGGTTCGTAGAAACTTGTTTAACACCCTCAGGTCTAAAATCGGACGGAGGCTGCCATCTTTTTTCGGAACAACAAAATAACGGCTGTACCAACCTTTGTTTATGTCCGAAGAGGGGACCACATGTATGGCTCCTTTCGCCAGTAGCGTGTTTATTTCCTCTCTCAAAACCACGGCTGCTTTGTTTCCAACAACAGTGTTTAACACGGTGTTGAAACGGGGCGGCCGTATGCAGAATTGTAGTCGGTAACCCATGGCGACAATTCTCTCTACCCAAGGGGATGGTGCACATGCGCGCCAGAGAGAGAGTCGCGTCGCTAGGCGACCGACTTGTGTTAGCAAAGTCCTGCTGCCCTCTGTCGCATGAGAGAGACGCAGCATTATATGACTGTCGCTCACAACTTTTCTGATTTTTTGTGTGTGAAGTGTTTCCTTTATTGACATATTCAACAAGTTTACACAACCATTTTGTACATTTACATTCTGAACATTTAGCGCACCCAAACTGGGGGATTTTTGTACAAACAGTGTGTGTGTGGGGTGGGACTGGTGCTTGGGAGACTGTGTTATAGAAACGCAGCGCCTCTTGGGGCTGGTTTCCTGAACAGTACGAACAAAATGTCGCTTGGGCGGCAGCCGAAAACTGGCGAACATGTCTCCCTGGTCCCGAAGTCCCTGCAGTGACAGTCCCACAGTTAGGAGGACTGCGTCTTCTTCCTCTTAGGCGTCGCGCCTTTCTGAAGACCCGGAGGTGGGTCCTTGCTCCAAGCCGACTGGTGGGGGTTTGGCCGTGGTTATGAGGCTGCGGTGGCTGGGTGCCTAGGCTCTCAGGCAGCACCGTTCTCTTCGCCAGAGGCGGCTGTGCGGCCGGCTTCTGTGTGCTGGTCTTGGGTCTCGAGTCCCATCTGGGGATTCTGCCTGCTTCTTCCTCAGCTCGAACTTCGCCTGAATAATGTCGAGAGACTGACCGAATAACCCAGCTGCCATAACTGGTTCATCCAGGTATGTGGCCCGGTCTCTGTCAGGGACATCAGAGAGTGTCAACCACAAATGTCTCTGTGCCAACACGGTTGAAGCCATTCCTCTGCCCAGGGAGAGCGCTATGCCGCGGGACGCATGGAGGATGTAGTCCGCGGTAAGTCTGATCTCATTTAAGAGAGGCAGCAGAGGACTCTCTGCCGGTACCTGGCTCTGAGCTCCGCCAGAGCCATAGCCTGGTAAGTCTGGAGCATGCTGATGGAGCTCAGGCCGCGAGCGGTGGTGGCCTGAGCCTTGTAGATTTTTTCAAGCTGTGCAGCAGAAAATCTACAGGGCTTGGAAGGCAGCGTGGTGGGTCCGCTCACACCATGGTTGTGAGACGGGGCGAAATACGCTGCCAGGAATGGCTCCATGGGAGTTATGTTCACCAGTCCAGCTTTTTCAGCTCCTTCCAAATCCAAATATGATCCATAACCGGGCACTGTGAAGCGGGTGGACAGAGGTTTGGTCCAGCAGGACGTCAGCTCAGAGACGAAGTCTGGGAACATAGGAAGGTGGTTTTTCACCGTGGTCGGTTCAGTGGGGAGAAAAAATCCAGCGAACCGCGACGGTTTTTGTGCAGGAGGGGGAGCAGGCCGCTCCACGTCCAGTTTCTGAGAAGCGCGACGACACAAAGAGAGAAAAGATGTGTCCTCCTGGTTTGCCCCCGCAGCAGCGGGGGCTTCTGGACTCGGACCGGGTTCATCGTCGTCTTCCGACAGACCATGCACATCCAGGCCAATGTCCAGCATGTCCTCATCTCCGTGGTGGAGGTCCAGATGAAACTGGGAGGCCTCCTCCTCTTCGTCGACTAACCCCTCCATATTCTCCACTTGGTCTGCCCAGCTGGAAGTGGGGTCTTCGACCGAGGGCTCCTCCTCGTCAGACTCGGACGGAACCGGGTTGCTAGACTCGGAGAGGAGAGGGTCCTGCCGCGCGACTGCAGCCTCRCCCAGCACKTTCTCCAAGAACTTAACCCGTCTCTCCAGGGTTGAGAATCGAAGCAGGCAGCAAAACGCACACGCTTCGGGTTCCGCCAGTGCCCTTCGAGTGTGGACGATCCCCAAACAGACCGGGCCAGCCTCGTGCTGGTCCTTTTTGTGAAGCAAGAAGCCGCACCCCCTGGGGACAGGGGCGAACTGAAGACTTCTGCTTCTTCTTGAGTAATTTTGTGCTCATCCCGAACCACAAAATTCTCTCTTTCGTCGAGGTAAGAAAGGTTTCTCAAAGTTAGCGCTCCGCAGGCAGACACAGTTACCAGTAGGCAGCTGCAGCTGACACCAACAAAAGCCGTTAAACTAAATCCGAGAACCTTTGAACAAACAAAGCTAATTAGCAGCAGCTAACTGGCTAGGTTGGAAGAGGTGGGTGTTCTAGCGAGGTGAAGAGCAGTAGAACTAAGGAGTGACTGTGATGCAACAGTATATATATGTGCAGGCGGAGCCTGACATCTGTCGTCATCACGTCACCTGCCTAAAGGTGTGATTAGAGGTGGCTTCAGCCAGGACACGCAGAGGCGCGGTTTCCCATACATGATGTGTTTTACCGAGTGAATTGACTGAAAGAGAATTTTCGACAACCCAGGGTCCATATGACACCACACCAGTCCAGTTCAGTCCAGTCCAGTCCAGTCCAGTCCAGGAAGCAGAGCTGTAGTCTTACACACCTCTCTGCTGCTTCTCCTCTGTTACCCACCAAAACCCCCATTGAAACTGGGTACCAAATTAAATAAACTGAAAATAATAAAGTTCAAAAATAATAAACTAAACCAATCATATAAAAGCAAACTCTTTCACATTTCCAATACAGAAAAATTAAACCATTATATGTGAAAATATCTTTTCTCTAAATGAACCCGGGGGAGGAGAAAGGTATCTGGGTTTCTCTCCAGGGGCCTCATGCATAAAGAAGGGCGCAGCTTTCCTTTATACATCCCAACAAACGTGGAACTGAGCGTCTGTGACACCTCCCGACACGCCTCCATTTAACCCTTTAAAATCACTATGCACTTTTTACCCTAGGGCCCAAAACGGTCCCTCTCCGAAAAGTCAAATAAAAGTTAATCTGTAAATATTTTTTCTTCACTTTCAATGCATTAAATCTTTTCAACAACTTCAGACCTAACAGCACATATAAAGTTTTGTATTTTTTTTATATCTTTTACATTTTAATAACATTTTTGTCTGAAAACCCTCGATTTTCAAGGGGTTTCATGTGGGTTCAGTTTCATGACCGTTAGAGTTTAAACAATAAAAACTCAAACTAAATAAAAATCCAACACCGTGTTCAGATGCTCCTTACATCCAGAAAACACAACAGAGTCATATTTCTGTGGATTCAGGTCAGATTCATGACTTTGTGGGTTAAAACTGTCGACTGAAAAAATTTTGCGTGGCTGCCGCACATTCTCACGGCAGGTGAAAAGTGTGCGTAAATATACGCACACTTTCACGCAACGTTGGTTTTGGTACATCCAACGTAGGCGTAGAACCTGGCGCACGCAACTTTTTTACGAGTACACACCATTTATACATGAGGGCCGAATTATATTTATTAGTTATAATTCTTGATATTCAGTGTTTCTCATTTAAAATGGAAATCAGACCAAAAAAAACTTTTATTTGTCATTATGCATCATCCACCAGACTCTTATTCTTGTTTTTTCTGAGTTCCCAGATGTTTTATCTGACTTATTATTAAACACAGACAAAAGTCAGCAGTGCCAGGACTCTGGAGGATATGAACCCAGGAACGGAGCCTCAGCTCAGAGATCTTAAGAAGAAAATGTATATTTATGACCCCCGCACGCAAAGCGTAAGAGGGAGTCATATTGTTTTCGTACTGTTTTTTTTTCTAGCTGCACCACTCAACACAAAATTTGGCAGGGCTGTAGATGAGTCTGACCTACACTGCGCCAGCCAACGGTTTTACGATAGACCCCATATTTGAGGAGGGGGCTCCTTTCAAAG